AATTTGAATACTTAGAAGCACATTTTAGCAAGCCACAAAGTAATTACCTTTTTATTAATTAGAAACCACTGCGGCTTATGAAGGGGTCGAAAGCCCATTCCTCCTTTGCTATGGGCAAAGGCTCTAGCTCTGTTCGAATGCATTATGCCTCTTGCAACCACAGATGCACTATACTCCCAGAGTATAGGTCGTGCCTATAAGACATAATAACTGAAGTTGCAGAGTTGCATACAGTAATTAAAAAACAGATTAACATAAAGAGATGCAAATACACTAGGCAGTATATTAGCACTTGTAATACTACTAAGTACTACTCCTACGTTTTGAACTCATAAATATACTTTACAAGTTAGGACCCGTGATACTTGTGATTCACAAAGGGTAATTCCGTTCCTCATCTTAATAACCCCCCCCCCCATCGCTGCTACCTTCCTTGGGGCCACCATGGCTTGTGTTCCTTCCATCAGCAGCACCTTTGGCCCACTGAAGCTTCTCCCCCACCATCACTGTCAGGCCTGCCAAGGCTTTTCTCCCGTCCATCAGCAACAGTGGTGAGCACCACGCACTGATTCCACTAAGGCTTTTCCCTCCCACCATCAATGGCGGCGAGCCTCGTGCAGCTCTCCCTGCCGAGCCCACCAAGGCTTCTCCACCCCACCTCAATGATGACGATGACAGTGAGCCTTGTTTGGCTCCCAGCCACTGGGCCCGCTAAGGCTACTTTCCCCCATCAGCAACAGTGAGCCCCACATGGCTCCCAGCTGCCAGGCCCACCGAGCCTTCCACCTTGTTAATAGCAACAGTGGTGAGTCCTGCACATCTCCCAGCTGCCCCTTTCCCTTCTCCCATCAGCAACGGCAGCAGCAAGCCCATTCAGCTCCCAGGTGCAGGTCCGCCGAGCCTTCTCCACACACAGTCAATGGCAGTGAATCCTGCATGGCTATCAACCATCAGGCCCGCCAAGGCTTCTTCCTCCTCCTGCAAGTCTGTGCAGCTCCCAGCCACAGGCTCACTGAGCCTTCTCCCCCCTACCATCAACAGTGGTGAGCCCTGTGCGGCTCCCAGCTGGTAGACCACCAAGGCTTCTTCTCCCCATCAGCAACGAAGGTAGCGAGCCCTGTGTGGCTCCCAGCCACCGAGCTCCATTGCAGACATCACCAAAGCTCCCAACGGTAAGTATGTTGTCTGCGTCTGTGCACATACTTTTTATTTGGGGGGCAACTAAAACCTCCCAATATATTTTTGTTAAGATTTGGGGGGTTTCTGCAAACCTAGGGGGTCCCCCAAATTTGTAGAAAAATCTCTCTAGCTTCTGTGTAGTCCCAATCTGTGGATTTAGATATCAGCAGATAGGGGCCACATGTTGCTAATAGTATATTTTTTGTTCCGTCGCACAGTCAAGTCCGACTCTTCGCGACAAATCAATGCAAAATTTCAAGATCTTTTCCAATTTGCCATGCTGTATTAAAAAAACATACTGGAAGGAAGATTTTTTTTTTTATTTTCAATTAACCTTTCTTAGATACACAATACCATCAAGATCTCAGAACTAAAATTAAAAAACACTATAGATAATATTTCTGGTCGATTTCCGGTGGGTGGATCGGCAATAGCGGTCGCTCTCCTCGGAGCTCGAGGAAGCGACTAACACACCTTTGGCTAGGAGGGGTGCCACCTCAAGTGGCGCCCCCGTGGAGTCCTTGCGATGGGCTCCTGGCCAGAGGGTTTTCGAGGGTTAGCCTCTTCGACGGCTTGATGCTGAAGAATAGAGGCTTTCCTCCGCCCTGACGGTCCAGCCTGGTCAGTCTCTGTCTATAAGTTTGCCAGAGCTCGAAAGACTCGTTGGTTCAGTATCGGTGCTCAAGTAAGTCTCTCAAAACAAATTGTGGTTTCTTTCCCCTCTCCCCCCCTTCACTTCGTTAATCTGCTCAAGCGCTTAGGGGGCATCCCTCCTTCCGCTCCGTTTTTCCCACCGGGAGGGGATCCATTTTAGAGAAATAGTCCGTTTAATTCAAACTCACGTTCATTGTTGGTCATATCTTGACTATGCTATTCCGCTCGATCTCCTGCATTTGTCCCAGTTAGACTGGTTTGTACCCCAAGGTCACCCATCGGCTGGACCATCAGGATGGAGGGAAGCCTCTATTCTCTGGCATCAAGCTGTCGAAGAGGCTAACCCTCAAGAGTGACAGATGTGGAAGTTAAACAAAAACTGCAGGAGAATCGTTTGTTACAGCTACAAATGGATAAAGCCAACATGATTCTCAGATTTCAGGGAGTGCCTGAAAATGAAAAAGAAGATTTGAAGAAGACTCTGGGTGAGATCATTGCCCCAGTAACAGGCTTACCAGTAAATGAAATAGTCAAAGATATGGAGACTGCCTATCGGGCATACTCCAATTACATTTAAAAAAACAGCCTGCTAGGGGAGATTGTGGTCAAGTTTGCAAGAAGACAGACCAGAGATGTCATAGCAACTTCGGCAAATCCCTTGAAATTTGGGAATACAATTATTAAGACTCTAAAAGACATTCCATTTGAAGTTTGTCAAAAGAGGAAGAGCTACAAGAAATTTCTCATTTCTTCAAACAAATGGAATACAATATCGGTGGGGGATTCCTGACGGTGTAATCTTTAAAATTAATGACAGAAGAGAGAAGATCGACTCCATCTTTAAAGCGAAGGAATTTCTGAGACAGCAGCTGGGATCAGAAGAAGAACTAAAGGATGAAGAAACAAAATCGAGTGACTCTGTTACCTCTGGAACGGATGAGGACTCTGTTGGTGAAGCAGGAGCGGGAGCAAGTAAAACTGTGTATGATTTTAGAGAGAGAAAACAGAAGTAAGGGAAGGACTCTGAAAATGGCCCTATGAAGATAAGAAGATGCTCAAGAAGTGTTCTCAAAATACTAAACCTACTAATATTGAAGCAGTAGTTTAAAAAAACATACAACAACTCACAAGTATAATGTTATACTAACATGTATTTACTAACATGTACTTTAACATGGATATGATTCCCTACTCTTGGGTTTTTAGTTAGTGTGGGTATCTTTTCTTTATCCCTAGTTGTAGTCCCTCCCTTTATTTTCTGTTGTAGTTATGTAGTCTTATGAAAAAATAATAAAATTACCCTTTCGGGAGTTAAAAAAAAAGATAATATTTCTGGTCCACAGCAGTGGCAAAATCTGAAAATTTTGGCAATATGTTACATGAAGAAGGGAAAGCAGCAATAGAATATGAACGGAATAGCATGGCAAGATGTATCTGAAGTGAGCTGTGATTCACAAAAGAACTTATTAAATTTGATTTTGCTAGTTTTTAAGGTCCCTCTGGAATGCTGTTTTACTAACACTTCTCAGGACATATCACACACATGTTCTGTAAAGATCAGTTTCTTGACCCTTTAGTTTTAGAGTGCCTATATTGCAAGGCTTTTGTGGCAGGATTATAGCCAGCCTCTAAAATATGTATTTTAAGAGCCAAAGCCTGATTGTTATCCAGTGTAATATTAGAGTGTAATATTACAAACGCAATGTTCATTTTGACAAAGTTATGATTACTTCACTTAATTGAGCTATATTAATAATATGTACATACACATTGTGGGAAATGTGATTTACCATAACATATCAAGTGGCCTTTTAGTTCAAGTCCATCTGTAGTGTGTCGACATCTGTGAGCGAACTTGTAAGAAGTATTTACCACATGAAACTTCTCTTATTGTGTTGAAAAGGAATGTGGCAACCAAGACAAACAAAATTCTTCCTTCCAGTATGTTTGTTTCTACATTGTGGTGAATTGGAAAAGATCTTGAAATTTTGCATTGATCTATATACTATACTTTCTAAATGGACCCAATGTGTTGTCAGAGTAACACAGCAAACAAGTTATGTAAAAACACCATGCAAGGATAAGAAAAGAAGCTGAACTGGGTAACAGATACAAGGCATTCTACAAATTAGCAGTGATTCATACCTGGTGGAAAATGCAAAAGATTTTAATTTTCAGTTCTCCTTGACTCCAAATATTTATCCTCCATGAGATTTACTCTTGAGTGTTCATAAATTAGAGTATAACAAATAGAATTAATTTAAAAAAAACTTACATTCCAGTTACTGCAAAGCAAATCAGCAGTACTCAAATATTCACTAGCTCTCAGAAGATCCTCTATATCAGAGAAAAATTCTACATAGTTTTGATGAAGGTATAAATTAAACAAGTCCCCAGGCATATGCGATTTTTCTATGACATCCTAATAAAAAAGAATACACATAAATAATGCTGTATATCATGGGGGGGGACTTAATTGTCCCATTTTGCACACAAAACAGGTTCTTTTTTTTTTTAAAGCCCCCGGAGGGGATTTTTTTATTGCATTTTTTTAACACTACAAAACTACAACAGAAAAAAGGGAGGGGGAACTACATTTATAGGATAAAGAAAGATACCCACTACTGACTAAAAACCCAAGAGAGGAGATCATCCCACCATTTTAACCATACATTTAGTCTTAATCCCATTAGTCTTACTATCAACTGAGTCAAGTTTAACATTATCTTTTCAGAACTTAAATTCTACTGTTATACAGAAACACCCCAAAGCATCTCACTTCAACCCTTTTTAAAGGCACAATTCAGAGTCCTTCAGCCTTTACTTCTCCTTGCCTAGTCTCTTCCGAAGCCTATAAGGACTTTTAGTCTGTCTCTGGCAAGCTCTGGAAGTGAAAGATCATATTAGCCATTTCCATTTGTAATTGTAGCAGTTGATCTTCCGTAGAAACTTGCTTCTTTTCCAGCTTTTGAACTTTCTTTTTCAACTTTTGTGCAGCGGCGTCCACTTCTTTCACCTTTTCAGCCGTTTCGTTCATCATTTTCAATATCTCGGTTGTCTGTGTCTGCTGTATGGTGATGCACTGAGTCATTTTCGACATCGGATCCTTAAGGTTACTCATTTGGTCCAGTAGATGGCGCATGGATTCTGCCAAAGTCTTTGCTAGCTCGCTGGCTCCTTCCGGTTTAGGGCTCTCAGTTAGTTTCGCTTTTGAAAGTTTCTCTTTCTCCATCCTCTTCCCAGCCATCTTTCTCAATTGTTTACTTTGGAAAATATTTTGAAAGTCTCTGAATATGCGCTCAAACGCCTGAACTCGCCTTGGTAAGTATTTCTTAACAATTATGAATGCCTTGTCTTCCGCTCCCCCCCTCGATTCGCTCAAAAGTTCATGTGGTTAGGAGGCGTCCCTCCCTTACCCGCTTCACTCTCCATTTTCCATATGGGGTAGGGAGCTTTCTTTTTCTCTTTGACCGTCATTTCGCTCAGTCAGACTCACGTTCATATCTGGTCTTCCGACCCCGCTTTACTTCATTTCATCCACCCAATCTCCTACACTTGCTCCGGTCAGCGTCACTAAGTCCCATTCGGGCACTACACAGAAAGGACCATTGGGACGGAGAAGTGCCTCAATTCACCCACAACGCGTAGGCGAAGAGGCGACTCCTCATAAGTCCCCTGGCTAGGAGCCTTCCGCCAGGCTCCCTGGGGGGGTAACGGGCCAGTGCTCCCCCTCCTTCCCACCATGCACAGACCGCATCCGTGGGACGTCCAGAAGATGTGACTGTCTGGCGTGCTGCCATCAACCGGAAAACCCCACACAAACAGGTTCTAATAGTAACAGGCCTTTACCTCAGGTTGAACAAGCAAGGGGCTTCTTTCATGTTCTGATAAATGAGGTGGTAGGCAAGGAAAGCTCAACTCCATTATCTGCTCCCCTATCAAAGAAGAACACATTATATTTAACAGTAAACAGCATGTAACAACATTATTAAATGCCTGAAAGATGGCTACTTTGCTTATGGAGGGTGAGGCAGTTGACAGAGATAAGGGGTCTGCTACATCTGAAACCTTGTTTATGCTGGTTAACATGGCTTGTATCTGCTACCTGTGCTTTTAAACTGACCTGGCGTGCGTGACCGAGATCTGG